AACTGTTCCACACATAGGTATACTGAAAGGGTTTATTGGGATCTGTAGTCAACATATTAAGGCAGTTCCATATCAAGGCACCCTGACCCTGGCCCCTCGCCGTTCTGTTTTGTTCAGCCTAGACACTTCAGGGAGCGTCCCTCAGCATCCTGAATTTCAGCTGTCCTCCACTGACCTGGATCAGAGCAATGGTGCTCAGGCATCAAGTCACAGACCTATAAATGATGGTCTTAGAAGCTGATCTGGTGGTTTTTACTGAAATTGTCCTTTATGTAGGCCCACAGAGGATTGAAGATGCTTTAAAAGAACAAGAGGGAAAAAAGAATCCAGGTGGTATTCTCCTATTCCTGCACAGGAGAAATGGTACCAAGAGGCCATCTGGGCACTTCAGGGCACAAGCCCACATCCCCTCATTCCTTCTAATTCACCAGAGTGCAGAGGGATGTGGCATTACAGCAGAATGCATGCAAACTTGTTCTCAGAGAGCCGAGCACACAGTGGTCTAGGAGAAGGTGGAAGAGAGAGGAAGAGAAGCACCTCTGTGAGTGGAGACTGTGTCTGCCTGCTAGATTTATTCTCATGGACCTGCCATCTAACTCCAGTGCCACAAATGAGTTTCATATACAAGGCGCATCATGTAAATTAGAAGAGTCCCTCCTTTTCCGATCAGGGCAAGTGGTCTGGGCAGTAGGAAGACAGCTGCATCACCGTCAGGCAGTCGAAGGTTTCTGACTTTGTCACATGGAAGGATCAGCAAGGACCAGAGTAGCCAGAGAGGGCCTGGAGTGGGTATGGATGTGGGTCCTGGTGAAGGGGCACCAGGAGAGGAGAAGAAAGCATGGTAGTGTGGGAAACATAGTGGGTGAAGATGCAGAAACACCTGCACTTGAGCTCAGACAGAAGCCCCTGAAGTGACTCCTGAGAGGGAAGAATGGGACATACCAGGTGTGATGGGTTCACAGGACAAAACGGATTAAGGGGTTTTTGCTTTATGGGTAAGCATGGGCCACTGGAGAGCCTAGAAACTGCCACCCCTAGAGTGTGGCCCTGCCCCAGTACAGTCTGAGAGATCTGGGTTCAAGTTCTAGTTAACTCCTCAATGGCTGGATGATCTTGGACACAGACCTGTCTCCTGTCTGTACAATGCCGCTAGGGCTACCTATTTCTCTTGCTTACCGTCAGGCACATTGTAGATGCTCAGTAGATGGAAACTGTTTTTGTTACATTGTTCCCGCTCTCATATCTTGCCTTAGTCCTCACGTTGCTCCTGTGTGCCTTTGTATCGGGGATTCTGGAGGCATGGAAGTACAGCTTTTCTGAGAGACTCTGTCTCAACTGGGAGACTCTGTCTTCACCTGTTTTACTCCCCGGCCTCGTAGGCATGAGCTACAAGTCCAAATGGTGGTCTTTACAAGCCTGTGTGTGGGGTAGTCAGACCAGCTTATCTTTCTTTGTGACTGTCTCTGCCACTCAGTCTGTGTGACATCTTCCCTCATGGGGAGTCACTTCCACTTGTCTTTAATTGGTCCTCGTTGGGGCAGCTTGTCAGCCCAGCCTGCTCTCTGTCACTTGATGCCGCATCTCTTCCTCCTTCGGTCATCCGTCGGGGACTTGCCTTTAGCTGAACAGAGAACACTGTACTAGATACTAATTTGTCTCGTAAGGGGGGGCTGGTAGGGTCTCTTGCCTCCATGCCCTCCCCAAGGCCCTGGTACCTTTCTGCATGGCTGTGGTCCTGGCCGTGGTCCTACACCAGGCGGGTGGGGGAGACAAGGTTGCTAACCATGGAGCTTCCCAGTTGAGTACCCCCAGGCTACAAGAGCCCCTGTCCTCTTATCCCTTTCTTCTTGGTGGGGGTTCTCAACAGAACTTTAGGCCATGCTCCAGGCAGTTTCTGGCAGTATGCCAGCACCACTGGAGACAAGGGTATGCTATTATTTCTTCCTAGGTTTGTGTATTGGCGTGGAGTTTTCTGTGTTCTGCCACATATAACATCCCTCTCGATCTTGATAATAGCCTTGGGGGAAAAGGGGAGCTGTTTCTAGTGTAGGTTTTTGAAGTTCCTGTCTTTGGAAATGGGACTCAGAGAGTTTATCCATCTGTCAGTAAGAAAGGTGAGGAAACTCCAGGTAAATAGAGAAGTAATTTCTAGGTCATGGAACAGAGAGAGAGCCCACCTTCAAAGAGCTTTTGAGAAAAGTCTGGTACTTTGGCCAGTGTGTGGCCCTGATTCTCCTGTGTGTCCCTCTGGAAACCTGCACTGTACTGATTTACCTCAGGTCCCAGTCTCAGCTGCATACCTTTCTCAAAGTGTCCCTCTTCACAGTACTCTGCATCACTTTATTTTTATTTTTTAAAATAATTTTATTTATTTTGAGAGAAAGATTGAGCAGTGGGAGGACAGAGGCAGAGAGAGAGAGAGAGAGAGAGAGTCTCAAGCAGATTCCCCACTGAGTGTGGAGCCTGATGCAGGGCTTGATCTCAGGATCCTAAGATCAAGACCTGAGCAAGAATCGAGAGTCAGACGCATCACTGACTAAACCACCCAGGGGCCCCTATCCTGCATCCCTTTAAAAGGCTTTTTCTTTTTTCTCTCCTGCCTCATGTAGGGATGCATGAGTTCTTTATCCATGTATTATTCAGTGGAACCAAGTCTCAGTTTGCCCCCCTGGGATGAGCTATTGTTATACATTAATAATTAATCTTAACAAGTGATTCGAATCAGAGGCATTTAACCAAACGCAGAGAAAGCCAGTTTGTTTGTGACAGAGAGCTCTCCCATGCTGGGGCACAATAGTGGGGTTAGAAAGGAGAAGTTGCCAGTCATTAAACTTTGTTTCTTTTCTGGCTCACTGGAGTGATTGATTGCCTAAGGATCCCACAATATTTCCGCTTTCACACGGTTAGTCCAGTAGTGCTCAGATGAGACATTCAGGAAGCTGAACTTGCATGATTTTCTATGTAATGTTAAAGATGACCTTCCCAGGTGTTGCTAGTGGGACCTCATTCCGAGTAGCCACAGTGGTAAAGCACGTGGTTGCGAGAGTCCAACTCCCTGGGTTCAAGGCCTGCTTTGCCAGTTACCAGATGTCGTGACTGTGAACTGGTTCCTTAACTACTCTCCACATCTGTTTCTACATCCGTAAAAGCGGGGGATGATGGTGGGTGTCTCAAATGGGTGTTGTCAGCATCTGATGGGGGATGGTAGGCTTTAGATCCTTAGCGTGGTATCTGGTAGTAGGTGCTCAGTAAATATTAGTATCACTGTTATTTTCAGTGTTATCGACGATGGTTAGGCCCATTGTCAAGGCCATATAGTAGGTGAGGCATTTTCAATTCTTTGTCATTAGTTGTATATTAAAAGGCCAACAGTTCTGCTCTACCCTCTCCTGGTGCTGGGGAAGAGAAGGAAGACAATTCTATAGTTGGATATTAGGGATTAAACAATTTGTATTAGAATGACCCATCCATGATGGGTCAAAATGAAATGACCCATTTTTTCACTGAGATGGATTGTAAGACTTATTTTAGTATTTAAGTTTTGTTATTTTGCTGAAAATGGAGATGATAATACAATCTTTTGGGGGGTCATGGAAAGGATGAAATGAGACTAACAGCTACATTACCTCCCTACAAAGGAGCTGAGATTTCTGTGCCCTTACTCTGTGTCATTCCAAGTGCTCAACATGTATTAACTCATTTCACCCTTGCAAAGTAGTTTACGCATGTGTTCCCATTTTCAGAGGGGAAGAGAGATCCAGAGGAGTTAAGTGACTCTGCCAAGGTCACACAGTTCATAGGTAGTGGATGTAGAACTTGAGCCGAAATCTGGATCCTGACTTAGAATTTGAATAAGATGATGTAAAGCACACAGCAAAGTAATTGCCATAATCAATTGTAATGTTAGTCCCTTTCCCTTTCATTTTTTTCCCCCTGTTTATTGGAAAGATGTTACTTAGAGATCAGGGGACCAAGACCCATCCCAGAGCACTGCAATCAAAATTCAGTTCTAGTAACAGCACAACCTCTTTGAAATTCTGATTTGGGGGAATATCATTAATCCCTGCTTTTATATGGATTACAACTGGTTTCAAAAATCATAATAGTTTTTTTTTAGTGTTTTAAGGTGTTTTATTCTCCCACCATATGTATATGGAGGGCACATACATGTGCAAAAAACACAGATCTCCTTCCCCACCAATTCTAACACTGAATAATTTTCTTTTAGTAATACATGTGCATGGTGGGAAAAAAAAACAATGCAACAGGGTACTGTGAAAAGTCAGTCACCCTCTTATTCTTGAATATGAAACTGACAAAACCCACTCCCCAGTGACAATTTTATAGTTTCCTGTGTTTCCTTCCAAAGCTTTTTTATGCATTTATGAGCATATATACATATTACACACATGCCTCCACCAACACACACACACACACACACACACACACACACACTTAACACTACACAATAATGTAGTACACACTTCTATGTTCCTTGCTAATTTCACTTAACAATTTCTTGGAAAGCATCCATGTCAAAACCAGAGCACTACCTTGTTTTTTAGGACTGCATGATTGTCCGTCATGGGAGGTGCCAGTCTGTTGTTGATGGTCATTTAGGTTGTTTCTGGTCTTTTACTAAGTATACTGCAGTAAATATCTTTGTGTTTAAATATTAGTATTTGTGAAACTCAGTCTCTGTTGATTTTTGCTTGCAAACTGGTATTGTATAACTTTCTGACAACACAAAAAAATTGTCCAGAAGGAGACAACCCAAAAGGAATAAAATAGAAATGTGGGGGCTTTTTCCAGGGCTTAGGTGTACCCCACAGGTCTCTCCCGACGCTTTTTCAAATGCCGTAGCTCCCATTTCTCATACGGATTCAGACGTACTGTGTCCTGAAGCCTCTTCTTGGGCTTTTTTCCCGGGTGCCCAGTGAGCAGTGGCTGGTAACTCTTTGCAAGATTGATTCATATGGCTCTTGTTTGGCTTTTGACAGGTTGTTTATAAGAATAATGACATCCGTCTGGAGCTGTCTCGCCTGGCCCGGATCGGGGACACCAAGATGAAAATCTATGGTGAAGTTGTATTCAAGTGTGAGAATGTGGCCACGCTGGACCCCATCAACTTCGAAACCCCAGAGGCATACATCAGTTTGCCCAAATGGAACACCAAACGCATGGGTTCCATCTCCTTTGACTTTCGCACCACTGAGCCCAACGGCCTGATTCTCTTCACTCATGGCAAGCCCCAAGAGAGGAAGGACACTCGGAGCCAGAAGAACACCAAGGTGGACTTCTTTGCTGTCGAACTCCTCGATGGCAACCTATACCTGCTGCTTGACATGGGCTCAGGCACCATCAAAGTCAAGGCCACTCAGAAGAAAGCCAATGATGGGGAATGGTACCACGTGGACATTCAGCGAGATGGCAGATCAGGTAGGAAGGGGCACGGTGGGGACTGAGAAGAGAGGAAAGCTGCAGCTTTTCAGTCCGTTTGCCGGCTTTATATTTTTTTATTTTAATGTTTGCACTTGCATGCATGTTTGACTCTTTTGCTGTTCTCTTTAATGGTTGTTGTAAGATTATGTTTCTGAACAAGATATCTTGTCTTACCGACAGTGCACGTGGTCTTCCTTCTCTTGTCACTCACGGCACAGCCGTCTCAGTGATAGCTCCAAGGCTCTGGAGCCAAGCACGGTTTTACAAGTGGCATTTCCACTCCTACCAAAGAGGCTGTCATGTAACTGGTGTGATGGGTTTTTTTTTTTTCCTCCCCTCTTTTTCTTCTCCTTTTTCTCATCACCATGGAAACACAATTGTGACATCACAGATGCTGCATTATGTGATGACTCTGTAGGATAAGCTTCACTGTGTAAGAGTTTATGCAGTGCTACGCCCTTCAATAATTGGCAAGAGTCGTGTTGCAGGGAGAAATTATGACAAGAAAGGAAAAGGCAAATTGATTTTTCCTGAAGTCATGTTCAATTTAAAGCCTTCCTTTGGTGCAAGAGCCTATATTTCACTCTTTGCTCAGACCTCACTGACTCTCCCTTCCTCTTCCTAACCTTTACATTTGGTTTAAATGGCTTTGTTTCTGCAGCCGCAGATCAAACAAGTGAGCCCCAGGCAGTACATAGCTACTGTGGAACGGTAACAGAGAGGGAGGAAACACACACACACACATACACACACACGCGCAGTCTGGAGCTTTTGAATGCCTGGACAGTCTGCCTAGCTTTCTCTGGACCATGCGGCAGTGAAGGTCACATTCTGTGCTATCAGAATGGACATGTCACCCAGAGTGGTAACTGGAGCACTTGAATTTCACACTGATTTCCTGATTCTCCATTTAGGTGGGGTTATACTCAAGAGGAAGGGTCTTGGTGGTGTTTTTTGTCATTTTAAGGACTCTCTCCTGGGAAACACAAAAAGTCTTTCATTTGGACATTTTCATGTTGGCGCATTTGGCCGCTAAGAGAAAGCAATAGGTTCCCTCCAAAGGCTGCGGCTGGGAATGGCTGAGCTTTCCTGGGACGGCTTTTCTGCATAATCCTGCAGGCAGAGGGATGACGGAGACGGGCAGTGTTGACCTTAGGAGGAGCTGGATGGGTTCTGCCGAGAGGGCAGATGGATGGCAGATTGTAGCCCTGGCTGGTTTAGTGCCCAGCAGGATGCCTTATCGATTGTCTGAAATCTAATCGGAGCCAAGAGGCTTCAAATTAAATGTGCTTGTTGAGTAAGAATGAACAGTTTGTGCTTTTTTAACAGAAAAGACACAAAAAACTAATTTCTCTGGAGGCTGAATCTTTCTCTCTCTCTTTCTAAATTTACCCATACAGTGTCAACAGGGGCAGAGCCAGAAAGCTATCCTAAAATTATAGGGGAAACACTTCTGTTGGTTTTAGGACCATGTGTTTTGGGTCTCTGGAGTTCCTTTATGGTTGATGGGTGTCAGGATTGGCTAGCCTAGACCTGACGCAGCTTCAAGGTTACCTATCTGTGTGTCATGGATGGCCTAGAGCACACGAAATTGTTGGATGTTTACTTCTGTTTATTCCCAGCACGGATGGCTTTTTCATATGGGGCACTTAGTTGTTAGAACCTTTGGTGGACCCATCTTTGGCAAACCTGTCTGGATTTCTGAAGCCTTGGATTTCATATCCGGAAGCTATAACATTGGCCAATTCTGATACATTTGATCAACACCTATAATAATTTACTGAGTAAGCAAATCCTTATCCCATGAACACAGCAGAACATCAAACTTAATATGATCTGTTAAACTTCATTTCTTCACAAGGGTATTTTCTGGTATATTTTTAGTTACGAACATGTACAAGGGTGAATAGTTCTAAAAATGTCTGCATACTCGAGTGTGGTGCCTAAGCAGGCTCATGCTGAAGCCTGACATGGGAGGAGAATGGTGATCCCTCCCCGGTTGGGGGACTTGTTCTTGAAACTTGATTAAGTGCATTCAAAACGGTTGTGGTCACACACTCACAGGACGGATTTCCCTCCGGATGTATTTATGGCTCCAACATTTAAATCCGCCTCAGTGCTGTCCTTATTTGGCAAAAGCTGCTCTTCCAGGTTGGGGATCCAGCCTCTCTGTGGGCTTGTGAAGGGCAGAGAAAGCAAGCAGTGTGAGAGGAGAGGAGATGCTAGCCTCAACGTCCTCGTTTGTGAGATGGTGCCCCTGTTAGCTCCTCCCTCGCGAGATTGTTAGGAGGATCAAGTCCAGAAAAGCACGCACAGCACTTAACAATGGTGACCAGGACAGAACGATTGATACGTAGGTTTCTACCATTTTAAAAACAAAAATGCAAAGCTGATTTCTCCAGGGGAAAACCTTGAGAATAGAGTGGGGGAAGCGTGTGCCGTTGGCATAACCCGCCCAGCAGCCTCTAAGGCTTGCCTTCTCATTACGAGTGCGTGTCACTTTCTTGATCTTACAGGGTCTTCTTGGTCCTTCAGGCTATCCCTTTCATAGCCCAGGGGACTGAGACTCAGGCAGAAGTGAAGGCTGCCTGATAAATGGCAAGATCCAGATATCTTGGTACCAATAAAGCCCTTTAAGAATACCAATTAAGGGGCGCCTGGGTGGCTCAGTGGGTTAAAGCCTCTGCCTTCGGCTCAGGTCATGATCCCAGAGTCCTGGGATTGAGCCCCACATAGGGCTCTCTGCTCAGCAGGGAGCCTGCTTCCACCTCTCTCTCTCTGCCTACCTCCCTGCCTACTTGTGATCTGTCAAATAAATAAATAAAATCTTAAAAAAAAAAAGAATACCAATTAAATTTAAGATTTCTGGCATCATGTTCACATATCACCTTAATTTTACAGTTTCCTTGATTTTATAGTTTAGGAAAATGGACTGTAAAGTAGCTTGGGGAATGGCCTAGGGTCAGAAGGCCATTTAGGACTTGAATCCCAGTCCCGAGTTCCCAGGCCAGGCTCTAGGTTTGCACAGTCTCATTGATGGGTCCACGGCTCTGCTGCTGCTGTGCCTCGTCTGCCCCTCTGATCTCGTCTCCTGCTCACCCATCGGGCCCTCCCATTCTAGTCACACTCTGGCTTACCCCAGGGCCTTTGTAGGTGCTGTTCCCCCTGCCTGGCATGTTTTTCCCCTTGGACTTGGCATGGCTGGGTCCTTTTCAATATTGTGGTTTGAGCGTACCTGTCCCCTGCCTGGAGAAGCCTTCACCCACTATACATTTTTAAGGAGAAACCACCCATTCTTCTCTCTTCCTAGTACCGACCATTACCTAATTTCTCTTGCTTATTGAGTCATGTGTTTAATTTCCGTCTCTCTGCTCTGGAATATCAGCACCACAAGAGCAGAGACGTACCTGTCAAGTTCATCTCTGTGCCCGCCAGTATACCAGAGACACAACAGGTGTGCAGTACATACTTGTTAAATGAATAAACAAAGATGTTCCAGTTAAAATTTCTCCAAGGAAATGCTCCAAATATTCACTGGTGGGGCTGGTAGCTAATGGCAGTATAGACGGTAGTAGTGTATGGAGGGTTCCATCATTTTGGGCATGGTAAGTGAGGGATGAAGACTTAAGCAAGCACTTCCAGAACCCTTACTCTGTCCCACATCCTGAGGAGCAGTTTACACATAGGATCTTATCTAATCATCATGCCGGTCTCTGAGGAAAATTATTTTCCCATTTTACAGGTGAGGACATTGAGGCCATGGCAGGTGAAATTACGTCTTCAGGGTTACACAGCTAGTACCTGGTAGAGCTGAGATTTAAACACAGGCAGCGGCTGGGCTGCCCTTAACCTCTTCAGCAGGTGATCTTCCGGCCGAGACTCTGTAGAGCAAAGACATCAGCTTAGGTCTTCGTTGACTGAGATGGTCCTGAATCCTCCTACCAGTGAGAGTGTCTTAGCAGCAAAGACTGGAACCAAATGACCGAACATTTTCCTTCCTACCGTCCGGAAGCCTCTCATCCCCTTGCTTACATTGTTCTCACCTGGCCAGGTACCATGAGTCTCTGAGCGCACCTGCCGGGCTCCTTTCATTTGGTTCATTGACTGGCAGCCTCACCTGCGATGCCCCGAGGGCTGTTAGCTCACTGTTTCCATCCTTCCATCCCAGGTACCATATCAGTGAACAGCAGGCGCACGCCATTCACCGCCAGCGGGGAGAGTGAGATCCTGGACCTGGAGGGGGACATGTATCTGGGCGGGCTACCGGAGAACCGTGCCGGCCTCATCCTCCCCACTGAGCTCTGGACTGCCATGCTCAACTACGGCTATGTGGGCTGCATCCGTGACCTGTTCATTGACGGGCGCAGCAAGAACATTCGACAGCTGGCGGAGATGCAGAACGCTGCGGGCGTCAAGTCCTCCTGTTCGCGGATGAGCGCCAAGCAGTGCGATAGCTACCCCTGCAAGAACAACGCAGTGTGCAAGGACGGCTGGAACCGCTTCATCTGCGACTGCACGGGCACTGGCTACTGGGGAAGGACCTGTGAAAGGGGTGAGTTGGCCCTCATGGGTGGCATGCAAGGTCTGGGTGGGCATCATGTACAGCAGGTGTGTCCCGATATAGACCAGAAGCATTTCCTCCCATTCACTGCTTTCCAGATTATACTCTTTCTGCCTCTGGATGTGTGAATTTGTTGAACTAGGGTTGGATCCTGGAAAGGGAAACTTTAGAGTAAATATTACCAAGCTCATGATACTTTCTGGATTAAGTATGAGACATTTTCTATCCAGAGTGGGTGAATACTTCTCTTTTGGGTTTCTGCATGGGCTAACGAACCTGCTGTTTCATTTATTCATTTAACTCATGCGTTTCGGAGCTTTCTGCATGCTAGCTCTTGGATGAGGCTTTAAAAATACACTATTGAACAAGGTGGGCCCAGGCCTGATCTCATGGAGTTGCTGTCTGTTGGAATATTTAGTCATGAAACAAATAATCACAAATGTGGTGAACTCTTTAAGAAGGCAGCGTGATGTATTGGTAAAGGACATGAACACCGGAGCTAGGCTGAATGAGAAATCTGACCTTTATGGAGTGATGTGAACTTGATCAAGGTAATCAATATCTTTGAGACTTGATTTCCCCCTCTATAAAATAGGAGTAATCACTTACCTACGTCAGAAGGTAGTGGTGATGATTAAGTGAGTTAGTAGACGATGGCTTAATAAATGTCCGTGATTGTTACAGTAGTAGTTATTGTCATAAATATCATTAAAAGGAAAATGGAAGTTTGGGGGGCCCTTTGCAGGGGGACCCAGCATGCCGTGGACATTTACAGAAAGCTGCTTCCAGGAAGAAATTTTGCAATCTGAGACTTGAAATAGGAATAGGAGTTAGCTTGGCAAAGAGTTTGGAGGAAGGCATGTGTCTTAGACAAGAAAGGAATGTGCCAAGGGACAGAGGTTAGAAACTGGGTCACAGGTGGGGAAGGGAATGAAGTCCAACAAGGACTGGAGTGTGGCATGAAGCGGGGGAAGGGCATGAGAGCTGGCTGAAGAGGAGGGGAGCACCAGTCCAGGATGCGGGGAGAAGCCCCTTGTCATTCACCACGTTGGCATCTTGTGTTTGCACTGAAGTACAGTTTGGGCAAAGGGCAGAGATCAAGGTAAAAAGAAGCAGCATCAGGGCGAGGAGATTCTGGTCCATAAGCTGTGTCCAATTCCAGCTTCGTTTATTCTTTTTTTTTTTTTAATATTTTATTTGTTTATTTGACAGAGAGCTAGAGAGAGAGCACAAGTAAGCAGAGCATCAGGGAGAGGGGGAGAAAGAGAAGCAGGCTCTCTGCTGAGCAGGGAGCCTGATGCGGGGCTCGATCCCAGGACCCTGGAATCATGACCCGAGCTGAAGGCAGCCGCTTAACCAACTGAGCCACCCCGGGCGCCCCCGTTTAATCTTTTATATGCCAAGTTTGTAGACTTCAAGCTGGCTGTCCATAGGTTGTCAATCTCTATTTTATATGAAGGGATAATTTACAGCGTTACCAAGTGTTTAGGAAAAGTGTAGCTCTAGGGCTTGAAAGATACTCCATATGCAGTAGACATAGTTCTGCTCTCAAGCAGTTTATCATTTGTTTATGGGAGGAGTTGAGAGGTCTCTACGAGAAATAGTAATAAAATGATACAAGGTGGGCACCTGGGTGGCTCAGTGGGTTAAGCCTCTGCCTTCAGCTCGGGTTATAGTCTCAGGGTTCTGGGATCGAGCCCTGCATCGGGCTCTCTGCTTAGCGGGGAGCCTGCTTCCCCCTCTCTCTCTGCCTCCTGCTCTGCCTACTTGTGATCTCTCTCTCTCTCTCTCTGTGTCAAATAAATAAATAAATAAAATCATTTAAAAAAATTGATACAAGGTAGCAGCGTGGGCACTGTTGGTGGACCAGACTGGGAAGGTAGGGAGAATGAGGGAAGAAAAGATTTTCTTAAGGAGGCAACTGCAAGATCTCATCCCTACAGACCATCAGTGGACAGAATTGTCCAATATCAGGAGTCTGGGGATGAGGATGATTCCTGAACAAACTTGGAACAGGGGCTGGATGACCAGGCAAGGATGTTTTCAAGGTCTGGCTTTTGTGAGGGCCACTGTATAATTAGTTAAGGGGTGTTTCAAGAGAACGGTAGATCTTTCTTTTTTACAGCTGGATCAAAAACAGGACACAGTACACTGGGGCGAAGGAAGAAGAGAGAGCTGTCTTGGGGCTCATGGAATGTAAATTCAGAGTCACTGAATTTTCGAAGCTAGCACAAGCAGAGTAGGAACTAAGATGAGGAAGGAGCCATCTGAACCACAAGTGGGCCACATGGGGCTGGACAGTCTGTCAAGCTCCTAGACTTTTTCCAAACATCGTTATAGGGTAGACTACCCTGGTCCTGGTTTGGGGCAATAGAAAGAGCATTTGACCTCTGAGATGAGTGAGACAGTTTTGGTGTAAGCCACATTGTTCCAGATCTCCCACTACCTATGAAGTCGTGTAAGAACCGAAGATCATTTCAGACCTCTCCCTCCTTCCCCTTGGGTCTCCTCTCAACCCAAGGGCCTTGGGACTGCCGAGGACCGATGGCAGTGACTGTAGCCAGCAGCACACAGTGTCTCTGAGCTCACCTATTCTAAAGGGCAGATCCATGGGAGTTGGTCCAAGATTTGCCAAGAACAGTGAAAGTCACTGCACCTTTTATGTTGTCACTTCTGACTAGTCATTAAGAAGCAGGTGATGGGGAATATATGAGGGACAATTATTCCTGGGACATTACAGCTAAGTCATCCATTCTGGCCAACCGAGAAGGAGCATAACAAATTTAAGACATTTGGTCTAGAAGTCGCTCAAATCCCAGACGGTGCAACTGATTGTTTTGTTCCTCTGCTAATTGTTTTTTGGCCCTGTATTGTTCCTGACACCATGTTCAGAATGAATCAGTGGAGTGTAAAAATGATAGGACTCCACTCACAAGCCGAGAAAATAGAGTTTCCCAATGACATTGTTTTTCTTTATTGAAACTGATTTCTCAGTGGAGATGCTTTGAGCTTCTTTTATTCATTTTTATACATGACACAGACATTTATTGACACCCTTGTATGTTACAGGCCCTGTATCAGATTCTGGAAATGCAAAACCACTGACATAGCTCCTGATTTTGATGAAGGGGTGTATAGTCCTTCCAGGAAAACAAAGGGAAATGTGGGAAATGTGCTAAAATGTGGTAGATGTTTTGCTTTTTGTTTATAGGGGACAGTAGGGCAAACAGATCGGAGAAGCCATGCCTGTGTAAGGGAGTGATGGTAGGGAAAAGGAGATTTGAGGTTTCTTAGATCTTTTTGCCTCCTATTTCTAACAAAACTCTGATCCTATAGGCACTTCTGAAGAGTGGTGAAGGAAAAATATTTGTTAACAGTCTTTATGTAAGGACCATGATCCCCTTGAGATACAAGAAAGCTGCCCCACCCACTGTGACCACATCAATCTGGGCACTCAGTTTACCATTTTCTCTAATTTTTTTCTATAAACACTAACCCTAAGCCTAGAAATGATCATTTGTACTAAAAGTGGTAAGATTAAGATAATTTCGGGGTGCCTGGGTGGCTCAGTGGGTTAATTAAGCCTCTGCCTTCGGCTCAGGTCATGATCTCAGGGTCCTGGGATCAAGCCCCGCATTGGGGTCTCTGCTCAGCGAGGAGCCTGCTTCCCCCCCCCTCTTCCTGCCTCTCTGTCTGCCTCTCTACATACTTGTGATCTCTGTCTGTCAAATAAATAAATAAAATCTTAAAAAAAAGAGATTAAGACAATTTCTTTTTTTTTTTTAAAGATTTTATTTATTTATTTGAGAGAGAGACAGTAAGAGAGAGCATGAGCGAGAAGGTCAGAGGGAGAAGCAGACTCCCCATGGAGCTGGGAGCCCAATGCGGGACTCGCTCCCAGGACTCTGGGATCATGACCTGAGCCAAAGGCAGTCATCCAACCAACTCAGCCACCCAGGCGTCCCGAGATTAAGACAATTTCTAAGGCAATGTGTCCCAACCAGCCCAAACAGTGTCCTTGACTTGGAGTTCGTTGTGGGATCAATCCTTTGGTATCACTGGTCCCACAATAGGAATGGTTGGGTTAGAGAGGCATTTGTTTATATAAAACAGAGAAATCTTAAGGTGGGATGTTAAAACTGGCGTTCAGAGAAAAAGCAGAATTGGGGATGGCCCAGATCAGACACTAGATCAAAGTAGCTCAAGAACTGAAGCAAACTGAGCAAGTATGTCAGTTTGTGGGGCAACACCCAGATCAAAGCTGTCCTCTAGAGACAAGGGAATAGGGCAAGGGTCCTAGGAAATATATGAATATGTGATGTCAAGGTTAACTTGCAGGTGTATCTTTCTCTTATAGTAAAAATGGACGACTCTTGCCTGTAACCTCATGAGAGTGTTTCTGCTGCCTGTGAAGATAGCAACTCTGAATCTTGATGTTTAACAATTGGCTGGATATTATACTTAGATTGTTTTGGGATGATCTGATACTATTCTAAGATGTAGATCTATCTTCCCAGCCCAATTTTTCAGCTTTAGCTATTTTGGCTTGTTATTCATAGTGATGTGGGAGATGTTTGTCTCCATGACCCAAAAAGCAAAGGCCTGTTTTAGCTGCTTAGTGCTAGTCACTTTGGTTAAAATGCTTGTCTGCTGGAAGACCACGTGCCCTCTTGTGAAGCCCTATTGTTTCAAGGAAACATTCTAGCTTGTCTTTCTTAAGAAGATACGATCAGTTGATATGGAGCAACCATGGCATCTTCTCTTTGTCCATGTGGCCAAACTGTTTAGTTCAGTTGGTGGGAGCCAAGCATCGATGGCCAAGACTATGAATGTGATTAGTTTGTGGACCATCAAGCTTCAATTTGGTGAGGCCACTGCAGAGTCTGTCCTCTCCCCTGGATGGCTTTTTCTGAATGTATGCCATCATTGATTTGGCAAGCAAGAAAGGAGGATTCAGCACAAGTCTATTCCTATGACAAGAAAAGTAACCT